TGCCAATACCATGCTGTTTTTATCACTATAGCTCTGTAGTAGAGCTTGAAATTGGGGATGGTGATACCTCCAGCAGTTCTTTTATTTTTCAGGATTGTTTTTGTAAGTGAGTGTTGCAACTCTGGGGGAAAGGTATCCTGACTACCTGGGGAGTCAGGTGACACCCTGAGCTGCTAGGACAGCTCTGACGGCTGGAGCTGCAATGGGACCGCTCAGCTCTGGAGGGAAAGGTATCCTGACTGCTCGGGAGAGTCAGGCACTACCTTGAGTTGGGGTGTGGTGGGGGATGGTCTCCCTGCAGGGTATAACAATCCTGCTCCTTTCCTGGAGAGCCGCTGGTGCTGAGCTTTTGGGGCTTCCTAGCAGAGTTCTTCTCTGGCCTAAGATGTTGCTTCTTTTTGCTTCGCTCTGCAAAAGGGGAAACCCCTGCAGAAATGTAGCCATCTCCTCTGGCTCAAGAGAAAAGTTGTTACTTTTTCTACTCTGCCTTGGAAGGAGTCTGGGAGAGTACAGGCCTAGATTTGGGTGGGAAAGAACAGCCCACAGCGGAACAGGCAGAGTGGTTTATATAGGATTTCTTAGAAGTGGAGTTTCTCCAGGGAGATTTTCTGTCCAGGGATTGGTTAGTTTTTTTCTGCTCAGGGATTGGTTAGTTTTGTTGGTCAGGGGCAGAGATGGCCCTGATTTCAGAGCCAAACTGTGTTTCTTTCACTGGCTTTTTGGTTCTAATTCTAAGGCCAGGTCATATTTCTTTCACTGGCTCTGATTCTAGGGACAAAGTGTGTTTCTTTGGTACTGGTTTCAGAGTCAGGACATGTTTCCTTAGTTCTGGGTTTAGGGATAAAGTGTTCATTTCTCTGGCTCAAGTCCCAGATCCAGGGTGTGTTTTCTTTTCCTGGTTCTGGGCTCCAGGGTCAGGGTGGGTTCCTTTAGCCAGCCCCTTTTCCCTACAGTTTTAGCCATCCTGAGTTCCTTTTGTGTAAATGTGTTTCCACATGAAGCTGGAAATTGTCCTGTAAAGAATTGTGTTGGAATTTTGATGGGGATTTCATTGAGTCTGTAGATTGCTTTTGGTAGGATGGCCATTCTTACTATATTAATCCTACCAATCCATGAGTGTGGGAGATCTTTCCAAGGCCACACCTCCTAATCCCTGTCAAGTATCTCCTCTCCCTAATGACTAAGCATTCAAATATATGAGCTGAAGAGGGCCGTTCCTATTCAAACCCAACAGATATCAATGAGCAATGTTTGTAGATTCCTGTTATTTTATTGTTGTGGTGGTGTGTATGTGTGCGTATGTGTATGTATGTATGTGTGTGTACGTGTGTATATGTGTGTATGTATGTGTGTGTATGTGTATATGTGTATGTGTGTATGTGAATGTATATGTGTGTATGTGTATATGTGTGTATGTGTGTATATGTTTGTGTATATGTGTGTATGTGTGTGTGTATGTGTGTGTATGTGTATGTGTGTATATGTGTGTATGTGTGTGTATGTATATGTGTATGTGTATATGTGTGTGTATGTGTGTGTATATGTGTGTATGTGTATGTGTGTGTATGTGCACACATGCACTTCTCTTTTGATCTGCTGCTCTCACATTATATATTTCCTGTGTTTTCATGGCTGTAGTTAATTTCTTTTTTCTTTCTTTCCTTTTTGTTATTTTTGTTTTTGTTTTGTTTTGTTTTTCAAGACAGGGTTTCTCTGTGTAGCACTGGCTATCCTGGAACTCACTTTGTAGACCAGGCTGGCCTCAAACTCACAGAGATCCGCCTGCCTCTGTCTCCCGAGCACTGGGATTAAAGGAGTGTGCACCCCACCGCCTAGTGTTGTAGTTGACTTCTTTAGGTTGGAGATTTCCTTCTGGCCTCTTCTGTAGAGCCTGATTTATAGATGGACAGTGCCTACATTTTGTTTTATCATGGAATGCCTTATTTTCTCCATCTATTGTGGTTGAAAGTTTTGCTGGGTATAGTAGTCTGGGTTGGCATCTGTGGTCTCTTAGAGTCTGCACACATCTGTCCAGACCCTCCTGGCTTTTAGAGTCCCCATCTAAAAGTCTTCATTGAGAAGCTGGGCATAAAGCCTGGTGTAGTACTACACGCCTTTAATCCAGCACTCGGGGCAGACAGGCAGAGCTCTGTGAGTTCGAGGCCAGCCTGGTCTACAGAGTGAGTTCCAGGACAGCCAGGGCTACACAGAAAAACCCTGTCTTGAGAAAAAAAAATTAAACTAAGTTTTTTTTTAAAAAAGGACAAGCTGGGTGTAATTCCTTTATATGTTACTTAGTATTTTTCCCTTGCAGCTTTTACTATTCTTTCTTTGTTCTGTACATTTAGTGTTTGATTATTATGTGCTGAGGGAACTTTCTTTTCTGGTCCAATCAGTCTATTTGATGATCTGTGCCTTTGCCCTGGGTTTCTTCTCCTTCCTCTATTCCTACTAGTCTTAGATTTGGTCCTTGCATAGTCTCCCAGAGTTCCTGGATATTATGTGCCTGGATTTTTTTAGATTTAATGTTTTCTTTGACTGAGGTATCCATTTTACTTTTAACTATGAATATAAGTGTGTGGATATGTGCACATGTGTGCAAGTACCCTCAGAGTCCAGAAGAGGGTGTTGGATCCCCTAGAGCTAGAGTTACAGGTGGTTGTGAACTGCCTTCATGAATTCTGAGAATGGAACTGAGGACCTCTGCAAGAAGTGTAAACCCTCTTAACCACAGAGCCCTCTCCCCATCCCCAGTTATGACAGACTTTAGAAAGCTTATAGGCAGAGGGCTGGAGGCAGTTTATCCTTTCAGTTACGAGTGTGGCTGTGAAATACCGTGATTTGAATGTGATAGGAAACACCATCTAGTCCTCTCCCGCGGGAACTTAAAGCAGAGTGGGGCGCTGCTCTGTGACCTTCAGGGGTCTCCATGCCTTCTCTCTGTTGTTCTGTCCGGTAGGAGCAGGAGTCTCTGGTGGAGCGCTTGGCCCTAGGTGACTCCTCACCACGTGCACATCTGAGCCATCTGGGTGAGGAGGAGGAGCTGGGTGGTTGCCTTAGTTTTCCCCTTTTCACGCCTTTCTGACAAATTGATAGCATACAGCCGGGCACATTGGCCCCTGCCTGTGACTCCAGCCCAGCACAGGGGCCCCTGCCTGTGACTCCAGCCTGGCACATTGGCTCCTGCCTGTGACTCCAGCCTGGCACAGTGGCCCCTGCCTGTGACACCAACCAGGCACAGGGGCCCCTGCCTGTGACTCCAGCCTGGCACAGTGGCCCCTGCCTGCGACTCTAGCACTGGAGGTAAATGCAGAGGAATCAGGAGCCCAAAGTCATAATAGTAAACCCAGGCCACATGAAGTATCAAAAACCAAGGAAGATGGCTGGAGGTCCAGGTTTGATTCCTGGGACCCTCATAAAGGTGGAAGGAGAGAGCCTACTCCCAAAGCTGGCCTCTGACCTCCACAAATGCACCATGGCATGCTCATACCCACACACGAAACACTCACATGCACACAACAGGAACAGACTGTCATTTTGAAAACATTGGTAGCATAGCCTTCAGTTGCAAGGGAGCCTTGGAAATATAAACTGGATTCTGGCCAACTGTGTAAATATGTAAATGTCTCTGGAAGGAGCAGTCGCCACAGTAGTGAGGGTCCTGCCTGCCGTCACAGACCACATTTAAGGAAAATGAGTCGTAAGTGGAACAAAATCCATATTCTTTGTCAAGAAGGAGGGCTCCTTGCTGGTGCAAACATGCAGCTGGGTTCTTAGTCCTCGCATAAATATTTGTCTATGGCAGGTCAGGCAATTCTGTGACTCCGGGTGCTGGGGTTCTGGGAGGTCTGTAACTTCCTGTGGGAGAAATGAACATGAAGGAGAGCTTCCGGGGCACTCCTGATTGGAATGCTGGCATCAGCCAGTGACCACAGAGAGGAGGCTAACCTGGGACCCTGACACCGCTGGAGAGCTGAAAGATCTGGAGGGAAGAGCCAAGTGGAGAAAAAATGTTTGAGAAAGAACTGTTTACACATGCAGCGAGGAACGCACAGAGCCACCCTGGGGTGACGAATGCAGGCTGGCCTTGAGGACTGGCACGCAGCGGTGGCCTTTATTGTCTGTATTTGCTCATTCTGTGGGGGAGTGGTTCCCCTGCCCGTCAGCTGGTTCACCGGCAAAGCACCACAGGCAAGCTCTGTGTGCGCTGGAGAGGATTGCCTTCTTCAACTGCAAGATGAAGGGACTTTTGTTTTGGAAAATCTGGACTCTTGAAGGGAGAGATTTGGATTTGTGGGTGAGCAGGAGGGTTGCCTGGGAGAAGGGCAGGAGGAGGGAGGAGAGTTGCCCTGCTTCCCTGTAGTCGTTGGGATATCTCTCCTGCTGGGAAAACGGAGAGGTGGTGTGTTGGGACCCCTGAAGAGTGTGCGCCCACCCCCCCACCTGCTGGGTTGGATGCTGGATGCTTGGCTGAGAAGTAAGCTGAAGGCCTCAGCTTTCAGTCAGTCTAGAAGAACTGGGACCACTGGGCTGGAGTACCTGCTACTGGGGGGGGGGGCGCACACCTTTAATTCCAGCACTCGGGAGGCAGAGGCAGGCGGATCTCTGTGAGTTCAAGGCCAGTCTGGGCTTCAGAGTGAGTTCCAGGACAGGCACCAAAGCTACACAGAGAAACCTTGTCTCAAAAAACAAAAAAAAAAGGAAGAAAGAAAAAGAAAGAAAGAAAGAAAGAAAGAAAGAAAGAAAGAAAGAAAGAAAGAAAGAAAGAAAGAAAGAAA